CTTGGGTGGCTAGGTAATCTTTATCAATCAACCAATCAAGTCAGTATAATTTCAGCAGTGGTTCAACACCCAATCACGGGAGACATCTCCCGTCACGCAGGGTGCAGTCGCACCTCCACAGATCTCAAGTATCATCTATTGATACTGGAAATAGCTCAAAAGGGCCACCACTTACGGGCTATTCACGCCCGTGCCACCTTTTGGGTGGCTTAATCTTCATCAATCAATCAATCAACACCCAATCGTTACTCTTGGGTGGCTTAATCTGTATCAATCAACAACCAATCATCAGTATAATTCCAACAGTGGTTCAGTAGAGACGCTTGAGAGTTGCCGGACATCTTCAACCTCAAGAATGTAGCACTCGACGCGTCCAGTTTCAACCGACCCCAAGACGCTTCAGCTTCCACACACAGTAGACAGCCAGACTCCGGACGCCTCGAACTCTCGTCCCGCTTCCAGCTTCCACACTCGTCCCTCATCCAGCTTCCACACTCTCGTCCCTCATCCAGCTTCCACGCTCTCGTAGAAAAGGCTTACGACACCACTTGGCGTTATCATATCCTATCTCAACTTCATTCTTTTGGCCTTCGTGGTCATCTCCCTCTCTTTCTCCGCAGCTTCCTCTCTCGTCGTTCCTTTCGGGTGCGCCTTGGTACCGCTCTCTCTCCCTCTTTTCAGCAATACGAAGGTGTGCCCCAGGGTAGTGTTCTGAGCACTACTCTTTTTCTGGTTGCCCTCAATGGTCTTCTTTCCTCTCTTCCTTCTGGTGTCTTCTCCGCTCTCTATGTCGATGATCTTACCCTTTGTTGTCAGGGTGATGATTCGCCTCTCCTTCAACGCCGGCTTCAACTTGCGATTGATGCCGTGTCGTCTTGGGCCACAGGTCATGGCTTCAAGTTCTCTACTTCTAAGACTTGTGCCATGACTTTTACGCGGAAACGGGTTGTTCTTCGTCCCTCTTTGTCACTTTATGGTCATCCCCTTGAATACAAAGATTCCGCGAAGCTTTTGGGGTTATTCCTTGACACTCGTTTGTCTTGGTCTCCCCATATCTCTTACCTCCGTGTTGAGTGCTCTAAGTCCCTTACCCTCCTTCGGGTCTTGTCCCATACTTCTTGGGGGGCAGATAGGCGCACTCTCCTTGCTTTACATTCCTCTCTCGTCCTGTCTAAGCTCGATTATGGTTGCCCTGCTTACTCGTCTGCTTCTCCTTCTACTCTTCGCCGTCTTGATGCTTTGCACCATGCTGGGTTGCGCCTCAGTTCTGGTGCCTTTCGTTCGACTCCCGTCCTTAGCTTGTATGTTGACACTGGCTTCCTGTCTCTCCAGGACCGCCGTGATCGCTACTGTCTTCGCTATCTTGCGCGGTCCTTGCAACATCCTTCCTCTCGTCTCTGTCGTGCTTTAACTTTTACCCCTCCTGCGGTTCCTGTTCCTCTTCACCACCTCCCTCTTTCTGTCCGGTTATCTCGCCTGCAGGATTCTCTTTCCGTTCGTATTTCTGATGTTTCTCCTCGTGTTGTTCCTTCTTTGCCCCCGTGGAGGGTCCCTCTTCCGCGGTTTTGTACATCCTTGACTCGTATCACTAAAGCTTTTACCCCTCCTACAGTTCTAAAACGCCTTTTCCTCGAGCACTTTTCTTCTCACTCCCGCTCCGTTTCTGTCTTCACCGATGGGTCTAAGTCAGCGGACGGTGTTGGCTACTCTGTTGTTTTTCCTGATCGCACTTATATGTGTCGCTTGCCTCCGGAGACTAGCATCTTTACAGCGGAACTTTATGCTATTCTCTATGCTCTTCGTCTCCTGCTTTCTCGTTGTCAGTCTTCCTTTGTGGTTGTTGTTGACTCTCGTAGTGCCCTCATGGCTCTCAGGTGCTTTAATCCAGTTCATCCGGTAGTTGTCGAGATCCAGCATTGGCTGTTTCTCGTTCACAGTAAATTTAAGTCGGTTGAGTTTTGTTGGGTTCCCAGCCATATTGGCGTGTCTTTCAATGAGCGTGCGGATGCTGCCGCTAAGGAAGCTGTCCGCTCTTGTCCCATCTCTCGTAAAGGCATTCCGTATTCCGACTTTTACCCGGTTATCCATTCCTCAGTCCTTACCTGTTGGCAGGCTTCTTGGTTGTCTGTTCCTGGTAACAAGCTACGTACTCTTAAATGTTGTGTTTCCTCGTGGCCGTCCTCCTTCCACCGTAACCGGCGGTGGGAAACAGCTCTAGCGAGGTTGCGTATTGGCCATACTCGCTTAACCCATGGTCACTTGATGGAGCGCCGCCCTGCTCCTTATTGTCCTAGTTGCATTGTCCCTCTTACGGTCGTGCATGTCCTTCTTGAATGTCCTGACTTCCAGGACGAGCGTGTGTCTTGCTTTCCGACCGCCCCTCGCGGTCACCTATCCCTCGATAGAATTCTTGGTGACTCGGATACTTTTGATATCGTTCGCCTTATGCGTTTTTGTTCTCGTATTGGCATCCTTGGTGATATTTAGCGCCCTCTGATTATTTTGCGTATTTGATGGTGCTACATAGCCTTCCCGGTTTGGTGCCTTCTTTTGATAATTACTTACTTCCACGCTCTCGTCCCACATCCAGCTTCCACGCTCTCGTCCCTCATCCAGCTTTCACACTCTCGTCCCACATCCAGCTTCCACACACTCGTTCCACATCCAGCTTCCACGCTCTCGTCCCTCATCCAGCTTCCACACTCTCGTCCCACATCCAGCTTCCACACTCTCGTCCCACATCCAGCTTCCACACTCTCGTCCCACATCCAGCTTCCACACTCTCGTCCCACATCCAGCTTCCACACTCTCGTCCCTCATCCAGCTTCCACGCTCTCGTCCCTCATCCAGCTTCCACACTCTCGTCCGGCCTCGAGCTCCGCGACTCCGGCCTCACTCAGCTCTCTGCTCTGTTCCAGGCTCCGTCTCAACGTCGACGACACTATCAACAACCGACTGCTGTAACCAAGACTACCAAATAAATATGAAAAACCACTATAAACTCTGTGTATATGTAATCTACCCAACAGCGTAACATAATCGTACGTTACAAGGTCTTACAAACAGATCTACATGAACTCCAAAATGGTCAAAAGAATGTCAAATGCTTTTTAATAAAGATAAATGCAAGATGACCAGACCACACACTAGAAGGTAAAGGGACGACGACGTTGTCCCTTCGACTTGAAAATGGTCCACAATCGACTTGAGAATGGTCCAGGACGGACCGAAAAGTCGCCGTCCCTTCACCTTTTAGTGTGTGGTCTGGTCAACTTACTTTAGCCACGTTATTGTGACTCATCGGCTGCATAAATGCAAGACTTTGCGTATGGGGTCATAACAGTTCACATGTCAGCTTCCAAATTAAGAACAGGACAGTACCTTGCAACAGATTGATGAAGACAAGGACCTTGGAGTCAGAATTCACTACTCACTGAAAGTTGATCTCGAACCCATTGTTGATGTGACGACTTATACTGAATTTTGTACCTAGCTCATCAAGATTGTAACTTGCTTAGCTAAATGAATTGTGGGGTTCAGTCCCTGAGCCCATTATGTGCCTCTGTAACCCTTTCCACTACCGCCCACAAGATGGGTATGGGGTGCATAATAAATGAACTAAACTAACAACACTGCAAATGACAGAAATGTTTGGAGGATGTTGATCCATACGACTTCTTCATAAGGTCAGATGTAACACAAACAAGGAGCAACGATTTTAAGATCAACAAGCCACAACGTAGGACAGAAAACAGGAGATGCTTTTTCACCCACACGATTATAAACCCAAGGAACCGCCTACCCGCTTGCAAATGCCAAAACTCTGCTGAACTTTAAAATCCAGCTTGATAAAATCATCAAGACAAATGGGGGGACCTTTGACAAGCCGCCGGTTTCCTGCCCTCATCGAGGCCACTAGTGTGTTAGTGGTCCTCAGGTAAATACGTGGTATGTTACAGTAGCCATAAATTCTGGTAAATTTATAATTAAATAACAGCACGCTGATAGATTTCCACGTAGATTCTTTATTATTATCTATCAGCTACTATATTTAAATACAGTAAAACTCTTTTTATTACATATAAATATATTTAAAGATTCATTTGTTTTTGTTTTTCTCTGACGATAGTTAGGAAGCGTTCGACGTTGGGTCAGTGATTGACGCCATACTTTACTTAGGGGTTTTAACACCTCAAACAAATGGGGCAAATCAGTTTTTGATCAAAGTCACTTTAATATTGTGTAAGAAACACCAATTTTTAAATGATCAACGTTAAATAAAAGAGAAAAATATAATCAGAAGTAGACGCCGCCGCGTGTCTAGATAATTATTTTCCCAGGATGGTTACCTTTTCGTGCAGCCCTGTGCTTCTTGGCTATATTAAGGTACATATAACCCAATTAATTTATTATATAGTTGTAAATTATTATATTTAAATTAAACATATAAGTTAAAACATAACATCAGCTAATGGTTAATAAGACTTTTTAATGTCGTAGGGAGGTTATAAACCTATGGAACAGCCTACCCGCCAAAGTCGTAAATGCCCAAACGCTGCTGAATTTCAAAATCCAGGTTGACAAAAATCATCTGAGATCTTCATCAAGCCGCCGGCTTCCTGTCCTGATTGAGACCACTAGAGAATAGTGACCATGAGGTAAAATTCAGGTAAATATATATATATATATACCCAAAGTATACGCAGCAGTCCAGTATTTACAAATATTTTACTTACAAAAAATACGGATTAATATATAATCTCACTATATGTGTCAATATAATTAGGTGGAAATGAAAGGAATATTGAAATTGAATTGAAATTGAAATAAGTTTATTGAGGTAAAATACACACAAAGAGATGAGATAGCTCAAACTATTCTCACCCAGTTCAGTACAACGTGTTAATACATATATAAACACACATCACAAACAATAAACATATTGCCAAACATTCTGAGAGATAAATATATACATTTCCTAAAGGAATAAGAGTTGTGGGTGTAGTTCGTCCTGGGAGACGGAGGGTCGAGGAGTGTGGCGGCGGGTGTCTGGCCAAGAGCCTCCTGCTGCTGCTGCTCCACCTGTCACTGCCCGCGCCGCCATGGAGAATGATATCCTCGACTCCCTGGAGGACCTCGGGTAAGGTGGTGGCGGCGGGGGTGAGGGTAGCGAGGTGTTAGTGGTGTAGGCAAGGCAGGTATGGAAGCAGGTGTGTGGGCTTGGTGGGTGATGGTGGAGGAGGCGAGTGTGGGGGCCATGCACCACACTGCCCCCCCCCACCCCAACACACACACACATCTGCCACACACATGTGGCACACCTCTCAGGGCTTCCCACACCTGCTACCTCCACCTTCAAGCCCCAATATATATGTTGCACACTGACACATGTGGAAGGGTTGCATGCAGGCTGCAGAAATCGATACATTAAGCTATGTTTACCATGATAACATTTGAGGGTAAGACAGTGCTATGCCATGCACAAGGTAGCAACAGGCATTTGCTAAATATCAACTAATAGCTCATAATTATTTGTCTGAAGGTGTAATCAAGGAACATTGTCTTGTAAAACTTGTGTGAGGCTAATGATAGGAGCTCTCTGCACACTGGCATTGCTAGCAAGCAAAAGTTAATATATTTATCATTTCAACCCGGCGTGGAGGGTTCAGTGGTGTGTAGGCCTATGGGGATCTTAATGGAGTACTTTCCTAGTTGAATTATTTGTAGGTTCGTTGGAGAAGCAGCTGTAGAGGTTAGGAAGGCCATACCATAGTGCAGAGTATACTCTGGTAAACTAGGAGAGTATTGGGTACTCACTAGCTATGCTGAGGTGCAGTACGGCTTACAATCTAAGTAAACTTAAGTTGTACTAAGTTTACACAATTTTACCGGGAAAATGGCAACTTTCACAGAACTCTGATGTTGGGTCTGTAATCACTTTCTCTTTCATAGTTTGTGAGACTCTACACTTTGGAATCCTCAGTGATGTTTACTTGTGAAATACAGCAGTACAGTACTGTTTTGTTGGTTGTCTGCACTCTACTGTAATATTCCACTGACATTTTTTAATTGTTCTTGATACAATGTAGTTGTTTCCAGTACAGTGGAACCTCGAGTGACGAGTGGCTCCAGTTACGAACAAGCCACTCGTAGAAAATGTCTTGACTGACGAGCTTTCGCTCGATTAACGAGCGTTCCCGCTGATTCTTGGACACCTCCGATGACAGTTTTGTTGTTTCGCAAGACAAATTTTCCACATGACAAGCTCAGTGCCAGAACGGATTAAACTCGTTAATCGAGGTGCAACTGTATAACAAAGGTCATATTTAAATTAGTCTTATTCTGCTAGCTTCTCATTGGGTGTCCAAGTGTAGTATTTTGTCATGTCCTCTTATAAAGGAGCCTTTATACACTTGGCCTTTATAAAGGAGCACACAGTACAGTATATGAGAACTACTTGGTCATATGAGCACCAAACATTTCATTAGCAGCGCTTTTTTTTTGTTACAGGGCAAATGCATCCCTTTAGCTTAAATTTAATCTCCAGTTAATTTAGAAAATCCACTGGAGCTCGAAGGTGACTCTAATTGACAGACTTCCTGTCAGTTTAGTAGAATCTCATGTTGTATAACTAATGAGACGAGAGTGGTTCAGTGGTAGAGGTTGCGACTGGCAGTTTATTAGTTGCAGGGTTGAGTCGCCTGAGTGCTCCAGGTGATCTTCTCATTGATATATGTCACATAAGTGTGATTTCTTTCATTGCTGTTCAATAAAACTAAATTAAAGACCTATTTTGTACAGTATTTCACTAAAATTTATTATTTTGAGACCTTGCATGAACGTATGTAGATGTAGAATGAGTTAATGTTTATTGCTCTGGTTTTGTTTTAAGTTGTTTCATTCATTCAGGTATACTGGGGACATATCTGACGAAGCCAGCTTGAAGGCGGTGGTGGATGGGAGTGAGGGAGGACCGCACAATGTGGCTTACACTAAACTTGTCGCCTGGGTGACTGGTGAACTGCGCATCTTGGCCAACCTTGAAGAGATGGTTAATGCAACAACTTCTCCAGATGACCATTCAGCTTTCATCATGGAAGTTTCATCATTTCTTAAGGAGCTGAGTGAGCAATATATCTTTTCTGTTTGTACATTAGTTGATTTCTTTGAAGATTTTGTGCTTTTTTGTATTAAATATAGAAAGTAATGCAGTACGGTATTTAATATGGTTTCCTAATGTTGGGGAAAAGTTTTGAGAGGCTTAATCATAATGTTTAATCTTAATCTTGAGTTTGGTGATGGTCATAATTATCATTAACCTCTGTGCTGCGCGGCTTTTATTGTGACATTCTGGTGGTGCACAGAAATTGATGTGTTCCCCCAAATTTAGTTATTCTTATATAAAAAAAAATTAAAATAAAAAAGCAACTTTGGCAGTGGTGACGTGGAGAAGATGAGATGTGACGTCACTGATAAGTGTTAGTCGTGCCGGAAGCTCCTAGAGGCAGTCGCATGGGCGATTCAAGACTCGTGATTTGCCACAAATATATTTTCATTAATTTTTTAAATGCATTTTCAGTGCTTTCTAATTACTTTTTTTATCGTATCTGATGCACATTTGTGTTCTTTACAATATGTAAACAGTAGAACGTTCATAATGTTCCAAGGAACTGTGATGTGTCACTAATGTCTACAAAAAATGTTATTGCAATATTGTTCAATATTCAATTTATTTACACTATGTGCACTCACACTATTTGTAGTCATACACTGTATTACACACTCAGTACTTCAGAAATGAGTGATAATCAAAGAAGCAGTCCATGGTACATAGCATGACTTTGTACTCGATGCACCAGGTACACACAGATTTTCGCTTCCTGTTCTTTGTTCTGTGTGCATGCAAACAATGCACTCATGTACACCTTTGGCTTTAGTTCCTGAAGGTGGTATGTAGCCAAGCTTGTGAAGTGTAAGGTAGTCTTGAAAAGATCTAGGAAAAGATCAATGACAAAATTTTGCTCTGGTACAGAATACTGCTACACAATGACAGCCCCTTCCAAAGCTGGAGATATTGCTGACCTGGAGAGTGTGCAAAGATCCTTTACTGCTAGAATCCACTCGGTAAAACATCTAAACTATTGGGACCAACTAAAGGGCCTAAATCTGTATTCTCATGCGTGCAGGCGAGAAAGATACGTAATAATTTACACATGGAAATGTTTACACATGGAAATTAGTAGAGGGGCTGGTCCCAAACCTACACACAGAAATAACATCACATAAGACTAGAAGGCATGGCAGGATGTGCAAAATGCCTCCATTGAAGAGCAGGTGCAACAGGTACTCTGAGAGAGAACTCTATCAACATCAGAGGCCTGAGACTGTTCAACACGCTTCCACTACACATAAGGGTCGGCCATAACTGGCCGACCCCTCACTGTGTTCAAGAGAGAACTTGATAAACACCTCCAAAGGATACCTGATCAACCCGGCTGTGACTCATACGTCAGGCTGTGAGCAGCCGCGTCCAACAGCCTGGTTGATCAGTCCAGCAACCAGGAGGCCTGGTCGACGACTGAGCCGCGGGGTCGCTAAGCCCTGAAAACACCAAGGTAACCAAGGTAAGGTACAAAGTACTGTAATCGTGGAATTTTTGTCTGATATTACTGAACACTTTTCACACGTTCCAAAGGTGATAATTTCTATCAACATTTGCAATGTTTTCAGTGTTGGCACCGTAGAAATATCAGAAACCTCTCTCATGACATGTACTTGTTGAACACTGGGCTTGGAACAGTGCAAAATTTGTTCCAATAATCCTGTATTACATGTTTCATGGAATGTTTCATAAACGGACACAAAGCTAAGAACACATACAATTCAGCCACAGTCGTGTCCTTCGATCGTGTCATACGTGAAGCAGGTAATAAGCCACCTGCAATAAGTTGCAGTTGCAATGCATACATGTTGGTTTCATCAACATGTTGCATGAATGGCTCATCAAAATAAGCCATAAAATATTCACTTTCACTTGTATCTTCACTTTTATATGGGAAAGTGTGTGCAACACCAACATCAGTACTGTCATCAAATTGTGGTTTGTGTGGTACAAAATTATCACAGTCCTCCCTCGAGTTCACCTGGTGCTCCTTGTACTGGCACCCACCACTGGCAAAGTAACACCACCATGGAAGCTGTTAACACTGTTCGTCTATGCTACTGTATCAGAAACAACATCACTGAACCCAGAAAACGAGTCATCTATAGTATCACTTTTTGAAAAATTGGAGACGACACGGGTGGTGGTGATAATGGTGAGGGCGATGGCGTGGAGGCCCCAGCATTTCTGATGCTCGCCCTGTACTGGATATACTCGCTGTATTGTCCTCATTCATGCTGTATCACTTGTATCCAACACTGGTGTTAAGTCTTTATTGTGCCTTGCTTCATCAATATCACTACACTTCTTCAAACCATAAGGTCTGATTTTCATTTAGATAGTGATCTTGCGACACCGCATCCGACAGGGGATTGGGAGTCGGAGGCATGTGCACCAGTCATGGTTACTCACTCAGAACTGAGCCAACCCATGGCCCTGGGGCATGCTGGAATTTTTTTTTCGAGATGGCTGCCGCTCACTGAAGGTCTTGGGCGTCCATCTTGTACCCAACCTAACACCCGCGTTTTGAATCTTAGGATACCCTAACATAGCTCCTGAGTCGGGTGGCGCACCTCCATACCCTGTGTTGTGTCAAATGGCACAGTGCTGTTTGTGGCACAGTGGCACTAGGCCTTATAAATTTTAATTTCTAGCATATCCTGGAAGTTCTTAAAAGGCTTGTGTTATATAACAGGCAGAATGATAAACATTAGGTTTAATTGCATATCCTAGGGTATATCTGTGTAGCATTGTGTCACAGCAGCTACCATTGTGAAGGGAAACATTGGGTTAAATTGAATTATCCTTACCCAAATCCACTCATACCACTTCTTTGAAGTGGTAGAGTGGATTGAAGCACCTGTAGGGTATTGAATATCTGCTGATGTTGGTGGAAGGTTCAACACAGATGCTCTATTGTGGCATATCTAGGGAAAATAGTATAAAGCAAGCTCTTGAAACAACCACTTGGGCTGGATGGTAGAGTGACGGTCTTGCTTCATGCAGGTCAGTGTTCAATCCCGACCGTCCAAGTGGTTGGGCACCATTCCTTTCCCCACATCCCATCTCAAATCCTTATCCTGACCCCTACCAAGTGCTATATAGTTGTATTGGCTTGGTGCTTTCCCCTAATAATTCTCTCCCCTCCGAAATTGCCTCCGTCCAAACAGTTGACATTGATCTCTGATAACGTTACCATAAAATAAGCTCAAAAGTACCAGTCAAGTTCATTTATCTTTTAATTGACAAATTATGACACTAGAAAAATTACAACTGCACCCCTCCCTGTTTTCACCGATTCAAATTGGTCTGTGATGTGGTCAAAGTCAGTGTTTCAGTTTCTTCTTCTACACTTAGCAAGGTCACAGGGTCTGCCTTGACCCATGGAGGCTGGCTCTTAAATACAAAAGTATTAGTTTTAACTTACTGAATGATTCTCACAACTGGTGATGGAAACTGTGATGATTAGCATTATATGAATAGCAATGTGAAGATTAGGAAAGTCGCTCGTCTCCATGCTGAACAATAAATTTGAGAAACATTTCAGATCCTGATATTTTCACATTGGCCTGACTTGATAGTAATTTTCTACAATCCATAATTAAGTCATTTATCTGCTGTCTATCAACATCAGAGCTGTACAGTTTGTCCAATTTTTCACACCTTGGATCATTATTGTCAGCGGTGGTGCTGAAACCCATTATTTGTATTATATGTAGTTAAAGGAAATACATCCTTAAGCATATAATAATAATGTAATCAAAGTCAGATCATACATCTGAAGAAAACTTATTTTCACAATGAGGATAGCTTGTCTAACTTTAATAGAAAGTGCTCAGCTGTGCCTCCTTCATATGGTGCCCCAGACATGTGCCATACTTGCCATACCCTAGATACCCCACTGGCTCTGTGCTTTGTACAGAACTTGGCATTTTTAAGTACGAATACAGTTTCTTTATGTTGGTTTACCCCCCCCCCCCCAAAAAAAAAAAAATATATATTAAACTTGTTTTGTACAATTATGGTAATTATAATCTATTCATGAGAGAATGTCTCTTTCTGCACATATATATACTTATACCAGTACTGTATAGTCATATATAATTATAGAACCACATAACTATAAAAGTATTATAATAATTTTCAGAGTACAACATTTTTCTGTTGTATCAAGGTTATAACAGTGTTATTCAGTCCCATTGAGTAGAGCAATCATATGAAGCCATTTTATGTAAACAAAAATATAAATATTCAACAATAAATACTAGCCCAAACTTGAAAGTATTAAACATTTGCGTACAGGTACACCTCTAGCCACTCATGACCTGGTTCACTCTTTTGTTTAGTGCTTTGGATATAAATGTTAAAGTGGTATACTGTACAGTATATTGAATGCAAATGCACTTTTCAGATTGTCCTCACAGCCAGTTAACCGAAGGTGCCATGAGTCAACGTCTGAGCAATGCAAAGTCGAGACTACTGTTGCTGGATTTTATTTTAGCTGAACTAATGGCTGCACGCATGATATCTGCTGCAAAACCTGATCAGGGCATGACAGTAGAGATGGTAAGTCTGCAATTTGTCATCAAATTTCCCAGTTAATCTTTTATTTGGGCAAAGATAATGTTCAGCGTATTACTTATAATGTCATGATTAATCAGTGTTCTTAATGACAAAATCCAGGAAGAATTGTGAGCTGAAATGTTTCTTTTGCCGCCTGTTTGCCTATACAGAGATGAAGTGTATAAAGCTTTTCACATGCCATAATGTGAATTTCTCCTAACTGCTCTGTATGACTTGTGTATGTCAGGCCCTTGGTCACTTGGTTAGTTTTTTATCTGCTGTCTTGGGAGGGCATAATTCCAGTAATACATACATGTTTGCATTGTGATTTACAAATACATTTAATTTTTTTGTTAGGAATTTACTTTTATTTATTCATCTTATTGTCTTATGATGATTATAGGACCCTGTTATTTACCATAGAATTTCTCCTGTGTCCATGTGTTGCATATTTATTTAGTTTACATATAATTACTTTTGTTTCAGCGTGAGAGCGAGCAGGCACGTGACCTAAAATCGTTGCTTATTTCTCTGGGTTTCCCAAAACCTCCAGCCAATATTACACCACAGCAACTCTTTGTAAAGGTAGAGCAAAAGGTAAGGGCTTTTTTTTTTTTTTATTAGATAGTATTGGAAATCAGTTCAGCACTTCAATTTTAAGATAATATATTTTTGTACTCCTACCATGGCCAGTGTGAATTTTCCCAAGTTACAGTATATTAGTTGGTTCAGGGCTTTTCTGAATGCAGTTTACTTACACTTAATAAAGTGTAAGTAAAGTGTAAATACTCTTGAGTACTTTGTAATAATTATAACTTTTACTCAGGCAAAATACCTTTTGCTTGAAGTTGGGTTGCCAACTCTTATACCTGTGGAACTGGTAGAGAAGTAGAAAGGCCACATGGCTTTGGGGTTGCAAAACATGAGTTCATTGTTGCTCAGTCAATCTCTTTGGATTTTAGTGCCTGGTCTTGGTTGCTCTGGATGCCTTTTTCTTTTCTCCCATACAATAGAAACTGGATGCCTCCTCTGGATGCATTTCCAGCTCCATGTTCGTGGCCTGGTTTAACTTTTCCTTGAGCTGGTTTTCATTGTCTTGTTTTCCTTTTATTATGGCTCGGTGGGACTCATTACCTGTTGCAAAACTGGAACTGTGCACATTCACTGAATCTGTCCTCCTTTATGTGTGGGTCATCTTCCATTTCCTGGCTGTAGTGTTAAGTTCCAGCTTCATCCTGGCTGGCAGGCAATATTTTGTTTTCTTAGAGTAGGTGCTGGCTTAGTGTCACCTGCAGGCTTGGATTGTAGGAGGACGTCCTAATCTTTCTGATGTTTCTCAGGACACCTTTGTGATTGCAACAGTGTATGTTTGATCATTCCTTGCACTGAGCAGTGTTATTACCAAAGTGTAGTTACAAGATGAGAGCTATGCTCGTGGTGCCCCATCTTCCCAGCACTCCCATCTGGGAGTTCTCCCCAAGCCTGACCCCGGGGCCAGGCTTGACTTATGAGAGCTTGATCCAACAGGCTGTTGTATGGAGTAGCCTACAGGCCCACATATCCACCACAGCCCGGTTGGCCTGGCACCTCTTGTAGAAGTGGTCAAGGACTCCAGTGCCAGATTTGGGCAAAGTTGGTGTTCGTGCTTCTTCAACTCCTGGATGTGATAGAAAAGGCATCAACTCCTGGATGTCGCCAATTTCAGGTCTCGTGGTCTGGAGGCTGGCCAGCCGTTTTGTGGTATGCCCCAATGCCAATGTTTTTGTGAAGACCTGCCAACCACCTATTCCAAGTTTGCCAAATGGTTTCCATGCTTCTCTTGCTTATTTTCCTGGGTCTCTAGGCTTTCTTTTGGCATGTTCATTTCCTTCTTGTATTCAGGGTTTGGTGTTGGTGATATACTTCTTATACCACCTTTGGGCTCTGCCATTTTTGTTTTCCTTTGGTGCTCAGCTTTTCTCAAGACTGTCTTCTTTGGTCCTCTGATGTCTTCACCTTCAGAGAACCATATTAAGGCCTACCTTGGGGTTCTAGGTCTTTCCTAATTGGCTTCCTTGTTGTTTTTGGTCTACTGAAGGATATATTAACTGAAGGACATTTCAATTAATACTTTCAAAGGTCTTAAATTAGCAGGCCAGCCTACCTTTTCTATGGTCTTCCATATTGCAGCTACAACTCTGGACTCTAGATGGTGGTAGGGTGGTTTCTCCATTTCCATTAGGATTTTGTGAACATTTTGGGTAGCATTACCTTCACCTGTGTGGTGTTTCTGCTGGACCGTGGTTTGCAAAGGACAATTTCCCAGCTTTCTCCAGTGGAAGTTCTTTCAGCACTGCTTGGGCTGTGTGGTGCATGCCCCATTTTGTTTGAGGTGGATTGTGTCCCATCATCATTCTTTTCCTTTTTATGGGCTCTCATTTCCGTGGTAACCTTTGCCATCAGCACTTGAGCTGTTTCCGGTTGTGTCCTCCCTAAACTAAGGCATTTCCTCTGGCTCTGTCTGCACTGCTCATTGTTGATGGACTCACGGCCAGCAGTATCCACCCTTCCAGGTGTAGTATTTGGAGCTGTCTTGATAGCATTTCAGTGTATGTATCTTTTACAGTGCTTTGCTCTGCCCCTGCCATTCTGAAACCACTTGTAAGAGGGAGAGAGGGGGGATTAACTTTCTCTCCCTGTGGAGCTGGTCTCGAACGTCGACCTTATTTCTAGGTCGACTTCTTATGCTGGCTGTTTTCTTTTGAGACGTGTTGATCGTTGTCTCAGTCAGTCTCATTCTGTTACAACAGTGTGGGAGACAGATGGGATCCTCCTCTGGCTTTATGGGGCCATTAAACCATTTTCAGTGTGGTCTGCTTGTCTCCACCCAGTGTGGCTTTCAGTTTGTGTTGCTGCTGTTTATGGATTGTGGGCCATTTATGGTGTTCATTTTACTTGGCTTAGGGTTTGGCGGCATGCCTAGCCTCGATGGTTCGTGATTCTGCCAGTCAGAATCTGGCTTATCTCTTATCTCCTGTGTTAGTGGATGGCAAGCTTCATGGTGCCATATTGGCATCTGTTTGTTGTACCGTGTTTGCCCCTTATTGTGGCATCATTTTCCATCTCTATGGTGCCATGGCTGTTAGTACTCTTGTTTATCACTTTGTAGTTGATCTCTGATCTCTTTGCTTCTCTCCTGTTAAGCCAGATTTTGGCCCCGAGTCCTGGTAAGCAGTGAATGGATCAGAGACCTGGTGTGTTACACTCTGGCTTGTTGATGGGATCGGGCCTAAGCACGGTGAATCACTGGGTGCTCACCAGAAAAGCGTGTTCCATTATATTCAATGCATAATTTTTTTTATACATCACTAGATTTGTTAGATTTTGTATTAAAATTTAGAAAGTGCAGGTCTCAGAATTGTATCATATAGTAAATGTACAGAAGGGAAGGGAAGGAGGTAATATTTTTTTTTTTTTTTTATATTTTTCATAATATTGCTGTATTGTGTGAGACAGACAGACTTGATGCTTCCCCAAATCAGCTGTGATTAAAACATTCCAGTTTTCTTTTCTTTACAGGTGAATGATGTTAAAAGTAAAGCTAATGCTTCTTTGATTGGTAAACCACTTTTCACTGGTGTCCTGTCAGACAAACAATGGAAGATGCTGGAAGAGATGCAAAAGGAAATGCAGAATGAATATCGAATGCGAAGAGAAATGATGATTAAGCGTCTGGATGTCACCATACAATCATTTCAGGTAAAATTTCACAAGTGATTTGCTTGTTAAATACGTGCATGCATTTTGTGTATTTTGTTGTAAAGAAAAACTCATTGAAAGTAATGAATTACTCTTTTCTGGGAGGCTTGAGTAGTTCCTAGTGAATATCCATGTGTTTCCTGTGATACCACATGGATATTCACAAAAAATATTAGGCATTTGGACTTGCAAAGACCTACCAAATACTGTGATCAGAATCCAGTGTGCTCATATGAGGTGAGGGAAGCATGAGTATCTGAGATCAGTTGTATAACTGAGTAAAACCATCCAAAAAGTACAAGCAGAGCAAAACTGTGTATCTTGATGAAAAATGGAAAGGATGGAAACAAGAGAAGCAATAGTCTGCCAAATATCAATAAACCATGCCTTAGTATCTAGGTGCACCCTCAGCACCTCCAAATGTTGACCAGACCACACACTAGAAGGTGAAGGGACGATGACATTTCACAATCGACTTGAGAATGGTCCAGGACGGAGCGAAACGTCGTTGTCGTCCCTTCACCTTCTTGTGTGTGGTCTTTCAACATACTTCAGCCACGTTATTGTTACTCATCGCCTGCACCACCAAATGACAGATGGCCTTGGAACAAGGCACGAAGGAAAAGGGGCTGACAAACAGTGCAACAGCTTGGGAAGCATGAGTAACATGCAAATAACACTTCTTGTCAGACATAGGAAAGTAATCATGATGCAATCCCGACTGGTCAAACCAAGGATCCACCACTAAGGACCAATGGGAAAACTTGCTTAGCCATTTTATTAGGACCTTTCCTTATAGTCCTCCCACCATTATCTCTCCACTCGCATGTCTCATTCTTGTTTGAAAAAGGACAAAGAAGGCATGAAATTAGTACTGTATATATGATTTCCAGAAGCAACCAGAAAGCCACCTCTAAAAATGAATTCTTTGCTTAAGGGGGGGTGGTAGTGGGAGGACTAAAAGGAAAGGACCTAATAAAAGGGGTAAGCAAGATCTAGAGAAATGGGGGCTGGCTGAAATGATAAAAGGCCCTGGATAGCTTAAGTGTGAAAAGAAACATCCAGTTCAAAAGCAAGAAAGCAGCTCCTCCAAGGCCATATGGCTGGAGATGACAGTTGGGCATGACACTCCACAGAATGCCAAGACAAAGTATATGATGACTGACAAACGGGAAGAGAAATGAAATACCAGAAAGACTTGTGGTGCTACCAAAGGAGGACCCAAATGTGACACTGAAAGAGCTGTCACCTGAACCACATGGAAGTTACCATTACAAACAGCTCAAAACTCCAGACACAACGGTAGGTGGATTGACTGGAACTTTTCAGGCAAGTCAACTGGGAGAGGCAGAGTCAGGGAACAGAAGAAGAGGGAGATACTGTATACTAAATAATTGGGTAAATATTTGTTGAGATAGTGAGCAGAAATGAGTACAGATGACCACGATGCTCTCCAACTGTATTCATGCTGTTCTGGAGGATTTGCCGAGGTATTTGTAGTATGGTTGTCAGTGATACTGTGTGGTCTTTAAGATTTGATCAGTGTTAAATACTGTTCCATGCCTATACTGTGCCCCTAATTTTTCTCGAGCTACTGCATCTCTACCCAGTTAATGGAAAATGGTGGTGATGGTGATTGCTTTATATTGTAAAGTCATAAAAGGGTAGTATTTACAGTACATCAAAAGATTTGTTTAAGACATACATTCCATGCCATACTCACGCCCATGTGAGCTTTCACATTTTTTCAATTATAGGACTTAGATATTTCTTGTTAGATGCAGTTGTTCATTGGACAGTATTATAAATGTGATGATACTTTTGAAATTTTCCTTGGAGATGATCCCACTGTGCCATCACAAGCAGTCTTATCATATAGTCTCAGCTGGATTAATTAATATCTTTGACTTGTTTGTGAAGTAAAAGACACACGTGTAAAATGTTTTAATTAATTATAATTTAATTCTCTAACATTTTTTATATTTTCCCCAACAGTGGTCAGACAAAGCTAAAATGCGAGAAAATGATTTGACACAAGCCTTTAGGACAAGACGTAACAATATGAAAGAGGAACCCAACGTCTCAATTGGTGACATGCTTGCTGCTCGTGAGGATCTTGCTGTTCTAGAGAAAACAAGTAATGCTTCCGTTCGCAAGCAGACAAAATCTAATCTAAATAAAGTAAGTATATATACTGTATATATATATGTGTGTGTCCCAAACTTCATTTATTCTTACCTATTGACTGGAAGTAGTATAGTGAATATTTGCTTATTTACATTAATTGCAGTCCCCATGGTGCAGTGGTAAAGCACTCGCCCAGCGCTTCACGAGCACTTTGGCTTGGGTTCGTATCCTGGCTGGGGAGGATTGACTAGGTGCCATTCTTTAACTGTAGCCTCTGTTCACCCAGCAGTGAATGGGCACCTGGTTGTTAAAAGATTTGGCGGGTCGTATTACAGGGGAAATTAGGATTAACCCTTAGACCGCGCAATACATACGTATATGATTTGACAAAAAATAATTTAACATAAGTTTTTAAAACTTGCACAAATACTTTCTAATTTTTTTTGCATAATCAACTAGGCAAATGCTCCAACTTTGTCTAAATGATCACAGCATAACTTGAAAAGCAGAGAATCAAAATTAATTTTAAAATTGAATATTGAAAACTTTAGATGATTTTCAATTCAAAATAAAAAATATGAACTATCATTAGTCGATCATTTAATGTTGTTGTTGTCACAGAATAGCATATGATCTTCATTTTCATCAAATTAGGATATTGGTTTTCAGTATGGTTTACTGTAAAAAATTTTGTCAATAGGGCATTTGAAATATGCGGCAAATTTAGACCAAAAAAAATTATAACTCCAAATGTATAATGTTTATGAAAAATTCATTCTGATGGGATTGTAGAACAGACACCAGAGCACACAATATGTCAAAATAGTGAGAATTGGCTAATAACTGGAATTTTAGGATCCATTCAAAGTTGAAACTCTGCTTTCAGAGATAATTGAAGTTGAAGTTATCAACAATGAATGAAGGTAGTTTTAATTCGTCAATTTAATTGTATGTTTTAATAAACATTGTTTGGCATGCGTACTCGAATATGTGAAAGTTGTAGGTCAATGTGTATTGAAATGACGTCAAGAAAAAATAACCCCCAAAAACACAAAATATAGGGATAATTATAATACTGTAATTATAATGATTTAAGGGATATATTTAAAGTATACTTTATATAAGTGAAAAAGCCCTAATATGGTCCCTAATCATCAAAAAATCTAAAGACAAAGAAAATACAGTAGTTTGAAATCGGAGGAGCCCAAAAAACTTAACACTTTGAGGTTCCACAGACTGACTATCTCGTCACTCATTTTTCTACTGAATGTGTTCCAACGACGCAGTACTGAGTCACTCATTAAAATATTTTTTAAAAATTTAAATTTTATCAGATCAATCTGGTAGTGGTTTTAAAATAAGCGCCTTTAGATTGCACACAATTTGATACCAAAATCAAAGATATAACATGAAACTTGATGTCCAAACACTTGAAATATTATAAATAGGCCTATGGTCCGAATATTAAAATATTTGTTAAAATTCTATTTATTGTCCTATTATCTTGGGACTAGTTTTAAAATGCGCGCCTTTTTATTGCGAACAATTTGATACCAAAATGAAAGATGTAACACAAATATTTGTCAGAACACTGGAAAGTTATAAATAAATTTGTGATGATGAGCGTCCAGAATTAAAATATTTGTTAAAAATCCAGTTATTGCTCTATTGTTCTGGGACTAGTTTTAAAATAATCGCCTTTTTATTGCGAACAATTTGATACCAAAACGAGCGACGTAGCACGAAATTTGATGTTATCAAATTGAACGAGTTGAACATTAGGTTGCAATGTACAAAATGGTGCTCGTTCACGGGTAACTTTAGGCTTTTCTGTGGGGAGGCACTCCAGCCTTTTGTACATTTTATTCATACACATCTGTAGGGAATTTAATTGCGAACACAATGATACCAAAATGAGCAACGTAGCACGAGAATTAAGGTAAAAAAATGGAACGAGAATGCACATGTTACTGATTTTGTGCGTTTTTGCCGACTTTACGCTTTGCTGTTGGGAGTCACGCTAGGCTTTTGGACACTATATTTATACACACCTGTAGAGAATTTAATTGCGAGCACAATGATACCAAAACGAGCGACGTAGCACGAGAATTAAGGTGAGAAAGCTGGAACGAGTATACACATTTGGGTGTCACCGCTCGCTTACCCGCACGGAGGGGCCACGTTCCCCCTGTCAACCGCGAGTTTCCACGGAGCGCGAAAGTGTTAAAAGTCCCAAGTTTTGCGAGTTGTGACTGACTTATTTATTTATTTATTTATTTATATACAAGAAGGTACCTTGGCTTAGAGAAAATACATAGCATAGTATTTACAATCTTGTAAAGCCACTAGTACGCGCAGCGTTTCGGGCAGAAAAAACCCTATTTGTTGACCAATTTCATTCTATCTTCACATAGTTATGAAAACATATGCATTCTCCAGGATGTAAAGGTTACAACAAAATCAGATAATAAACAAAGGAGATATTAACACTTTGTGCGGATCAGGACATCGTCTGGAGTCCTGTTTTGTCTACCCGCTTCCGCGATGTGGACGTAAAATGATGTCCTGAAAAAAATATTTGTATAAAATTCAATTTTAATCCGATTTACTTTGGGTTTGTTTCAAACTGCGCGCCATGAGGCTCTCTTTCTCACCACTAGGCTGCATGGTACAATAAGTTCATGAAAGGTGTGGACCACTTCGATCAAATGGTATTACCATTTTACCAGGAAAACTCACAAGTGGACCTAAAAGATAACGTTTTATTTCCTGCAAATGGCTTTGCATAATGCCTTTGTTTTGTACAAATACAACACAACTGATCAAAAAAAGCTAACATTGCTACAGTTCCACGAGGTGGCAAATTGGGCCCTATTGTGCTGGGACCCGGAAGATTGGCCTCAAACAGCAACAGTATCTCAACACTTGCGGCACGCTCCAGACATAAATGATGACACAGGTCCTGCCTATGCTGACGCCATGCAAACTCCTGGACCATCTGGTGTGAGGCGGCCCTTGTTCACTTCAACACCTCAAGCTGAAGCAGCAACCGAATCAGAACCCGAGATGTCTGGCACACTGCCATTTGACGAGACGGTTTTGTCAGATGACTCTGACTCTGACTCAAATGTTGAACCTCCAGCGATTCAGTTGATTCTGAAAATCGCATGAACTACAAACTGAAACGAGTATTTTGATACCAGAATGAACACTGTATCACATAAACTGCCATAAGTAGACTCGAACCTTCATAGATTTTTTTTTGGGTGTAGCGTGTGTCTGCATGAGTGTCCCAAACGGGTTGCAGATGGGTGACTTTAGCCGTTTATACTGGTAATGCTTCCCCCATATCATGTATTATATGCATATGTCTGTTTAGGGAATTTTATTCCGATCAATGTACAACCAAAAATAACTGTGTGCAACAAGTATAACCTTGGCAAACATAACAAAAGTAAAAACATTTCGTGTGTGTTTGACGCTCACTGATATGTTCCAGCGTTGTTTTATATTTGGCGCTATTCTATCTTACGCTTTGTTGATCTTTTTTACCTACGGGCTCATAGAACATTCTATTGCGAACACATTGACACAAAAATGAATGACGTACATAGAATAATAATGTCAGGACAGTGAAATAAGTATAAACTTTCAAAGCGCCGTATCGCACATGTGTCGTCCCGTCACCAATACCGGGTAACAGTTTCACCACTTCCCACACTCTTGCGGGTGGGCCGCGATCATTATTCTACGTTTATATTCATATCACCGTGTTGGGAATTTCATTGCGAGTCCATTGATACCAAAATTAACGCTGTAGGACAAGTGTGGAGGTGATAACAATCCCAAGAGTAAAAACATTTTGTTGCTGTTGGGCGCTCACGGCGAGTCATCTTCGTAGTTATTTATTTGGTGCTGGTATCCCTATACGTTTCGTGACTTTTTTTACTGATGTTCTTCTAGAGAATTTTATTGCGAACACGTTGGTACCAAAATGAAATACGTAGCTCGAGAACTAAGGTCAGGAGAGTAAAAAGAGTATAGACATTTTTGTTTTTACGCTTAAGCGACAAAAACGCCGCGTGCACATACCGCTTTTTTTTTTTTACCTTCGCCGGGCGCGCGAAAGTGTTAACATTGGACAGTTATTCATTATTATTTGTGTTATGTATTACTCAGCTATGATATAAAGGCACCAACTCCATATCCACTTTGTGGACTCTTCTTACTATTATTCTTCTTCTTTGAGCATAGGACAGGTGCTTGCATCTCTTTATTACTGCGCAATCCTTCAGTTCCAGTTATTAGGAGCTGTTCTCCTTATCAATAAAACGTTCTTATTTTTCAAAAATTCGTCTAAAATCAATTTCTGAAAATATTTTGATGAAAGTTTCACAACACTGAAGCCAATAAGTTGGAGATTTAACATTTTTAAGTTATTTTTACATAATTCAAATATTTTTCGCTACTATGTCCCCTACATTCGCGGTAATATGCGCTGTCTATCTTGGTTATCTTGGAAGTGATTTCTCGAGATGATTTCGGGGCTTAGCGTCCCCGCGGGTGGGTCCTCGACCGGGCCTCCTTTTTGCTACACACACCCCCCAGGAAATAGCCCATAACAGCTGTCTAACTCCCAGGTACTTATTTACTGCTAGGTAAAGGGCATTAGGGTGAAAGAAACATTTTGCCCATTTGCCTCTGCCCCCACTTGGGATCGAACCTGGGACCTCGGGACTATGAACCCGAAGCGCTGTTCATCCAGCTGTCAGGCGCCCTAACATTTCTAAGAATTAAGGACCTGCCCGAAATGCTGTGTGTGCTTTTAATTTTTTTAATTACATTTTTTTTATTTTTTTCAGATCATCATTGGTAGAGTTCCTGACAGAGGTGGTCGTACAAATGAGCTAGAGCCTCCCCCTCCAGAGATGCCATCTTGGACACAGAGATCAGGTGGTGGTGGTGGTGGTGGTGGAGGAGGTAGGTTATGAATCACTTTATTTATCTTTAATGCAGTTAAATTTCCAGAATCATTAAATCTTTCATACTAGAGTGTTGGAAAGATTAATTTCCAGTGCTGTGTTATGGGGCTGCTTTAAGCAGCAGCTGATTTTACAAGACATGTTATGACGTGTGATGATATATGTGCAGAGTTACTCCTCAAGAGGTGACATACTGTTTGATGCAGCTCTATTGTCACAAGTTCATTATTGTCCACTTGTCCGATTTTAGTTTTTGGGCAGCTGAGGATGTTTTATTAATGTGTGGGGGGCTGATAGATACATGTCTCAAAATAATGATGAGTTTTATGTTTTCTTTTGAACATAAGATGTCATTCAAACAATATAACTACATACAAATGTTTCACAATCAATCAGTTTAGGTGCGTCCCTTGAAAAGTATAAGTGATTTGTCAATAACTAGCTTTGACCTGGTACATAGAAATCTTTGTATTTTCCATTCAAGCTAATGAATAAATTCTCTCTACAGCCTATCATTTACAATCTCGTTATCACTATTTTAAAAATGTTAGACACTTGAGAATTAGAAATTGCCTATCAGGAGCTCTATCTCCTGAATGCTGGGGTTGGAACAAGGCTGTCTTTGTTCCAACAATCCTGTATGATGTGTTTCACATAATGTTTCGTCGTATATAGTGAGCAAGTAAAACACATTTCCACTGTTGAGTGCAAGATATTTTATATAAAACAATGAACAGCGGAATATTCATTAATTAAAAACATATTAGTTATTTACATAAAAAAATAACTTATACATTTCACTAATTTGGAAGCTAGGTTTGATGTCCCATTTAGCTATCATAAGTGATTTCAGAATAATTCGGCAGAAAAGCACGTTTGACTTTCTTATTAACACTTTCGCCCGGGGACAAAAAAATGATGCACAGAATTTGACACAGAATGGCATGAAAAAATTATCAGACGAAGGTGCGGGAAGGACGCATCGGTGCATCAAAAATTAAAATGCTTTCGGCTTGGCTGCGGATGGGGTGTGCCGCGATTTTGGACATTATATGCATATACTCCTGTAGGTAATTCTATTGCAAACACATGATACCAAAATGAAAAACCTAGGACGAGAAATGAGGTGACCAAAGTGAAAAGAGTTTCCACATTTTATTGCTCATGCATGCTCATGGGTAATGCGCAACCAATTTATGGGTTTGGTGCGGGTGGTACACCAGGCTTTTGGACTTTATATGCATATACTCTTGTAGGTATTTCTATTGCAAACACATTGATACCAAAATGAAAGACCTAGGACAAGAATTGAGGTGACAAAATTGAAAAAGAGTATACAGGCATACCTCAGAATAAGAGTTTAATCCGTTCCTGGAGACGCCTCGCCTTCCGAAAACTCGCATTCCGAAGTTAATTTCCCCATAAGAAATAAAGGGAAATGAATTAATCCGTTCCTGACTACCCCAAAAACCCCACATCAAACTAAATTTTTATACCTAATTTACCTAATTCATCTAAATAAACCTACAAAACTGTGTTCCAGTTATTACTTACCTTGCTGTCGAGTGCTGTAAGCGTATGGAAGATGGTGAGGAGGGGGGAGGAGGAGAGGAGTTACTGTTTGGAAAGGGAGTCCCCTTCCATAATCACATCACATAACCCCATGCCTTGTAACACTATGGATACCACTTCTCTTTCTAAATTTTTCAAACCAGCCCCTGCTTGCCTTAAACTCTTTCTTATCTGCATCACTCGTTGCAGGGGTATTGTTTAGAAGGTCTTCGTGCAACACCCTGGCTTTCTCACAAATAATGGCCTCCGAAACACTATCACCCCTCAACTCCTTGTCGTGTATCCAAATTAATAACAACTTTTCCACTTCTTCAAGTATTTGTGGTCTTTGTGCCGTTAATGTTCTTACTCCTTTTGCCACTTTAGCACCCATAATCTTATTTTTCTTCTTAAGTATAGTGCATATTGTTGATGTGGCTTTGTTGTACTGCCTACAAAGTTCAACAACACGTGTACCGTTCTCATGCTTCCGAATGATCTCTTGTTTCTCCTCTATTGTCATCCTCACATGAGCTTTCTGGCCTTTATCCTTACCACTGGCTTTCTTGGGACCCATGGTGAGATATATAATAACAAATTGTATAGACAAATCACCAAAAATCCAACAAAACACTGAAAATCCGCGAGAGGAATTGATGTGGGGGTAGTCACTGAGCGCGAGACAATAATAAACTGAGGGGCGGAGGGGCGACGATCGCCGAACCACCACGCGCTAGGTCGGCCTGTACGCGTATCAACAAACTCGCGTCCCGAAGAAACCCTCGCCTTCTGAGACAAATTTTTGGAGTAAATACTCCTCGCCTTCCGAAAACCTCGCATACAGGGACAATCGCATTCCGAGGTACCACTGTACACATTTTATTGCTCTTGTGCGCTCATGGGTAATGCACGGCTCACCTTGGGTGGTCTAGTGCTCGCTCGCCCAAAGTGCGACAGGTGTTAAAACCGTAACCATTTTCTAATGTTACTTTTAATACAAATTGTATACCTTATCGTATACAATACTGACGGCTTCAACATGTATACATTACCACCTGCCTCCCAAAAAATAATGGTGTAATTGTGATGACTAACTTGGACCAGCATTTAAATGTTTTATTCATGTGGAATGGCTGTTTTATGTTGAAGGAAGACTTAATGCTGTTATCTTTAATGTACAGACATTTGCAAGTGGTCTGTGTTGCATTCCTGCCAAAAAATTAAGTAACAAATATTATTTGTGATTAATTCATGAATGAATTTGACAGTATTATCATTCGTCTTGAAAGTAACAGATTTCATAATGCCTCTTTAGAATAACACTCAGATAATAAGTCTTGTAAGTTCATTACATACTTGTGATACTGTACTTGTAATACTGCAAAAGGGTTCTTTTTTTATTTTTACAAATTCAGTAGTTTATCTTTTTCTTTGATTTTTATATTCTTATAATAATGAAGTAATGAAGTAGTATGAATAATATTATTCATAATAATGAATAATGAAGCAGATTAAAAAAAGTAAGTATTGTTTAATCACTGTTGGGAACATGTCGGTTATTATACATATGTGATTTTAATTATTTGTTTATCTTTTTCAGGAGGATTTGGTGGTGGTGGTAGTGGAGGACGTGGCGGAGGTCGTGGAGGAGGCCGTGGTGGGGGATTCAACTCTGGAAATGATCGTGTTCAGGGTGGTTGGAATCAGGGTGGTGGTGGGTATGATAACCGTGGTGGTGGTGGAGGGTATGATAACCGTGGTGGAGGCGGATATAACAGAGGGTATGATAACCGTGGCGGTGGAGGATATGATAACCGGGGTGGTGGTAGAGGATATGATAATAGAGGTGGCGGAGGATATGACAATCGAGGTGGTGGTGGGGGCTATGATAACCGGGGTGGAGGTGGCGGTGGGGGTTATGGTTGGGGTGGTGGTGGCGGCGGTTATGATAACCGCGGTTATGACAACAGAGGTGGGCATGGGGGCAGAGGTGGCGGACGAGGTGGCAGAGGTGGTGGTAGGGGAGGCAGGTATTAAAATTACAAAAATTGTATGCACCATGTAATTGGAGATATCATCTGTGGCATTTACCAGTGCACCATCTAACAATTTATTTATATACGTTATTTAAAAAGCAGTTATACCCTACGATATACTTTTTAGTAAGAGGTGAAAATTTCATTATAGTGCATGATAGCCACTTATATAACATTAAATTGCTACTTTTTTGTAAAAATATATAACATATGTACTCTGGAGGCACACTTAGCAGTTTTTATGTAAAAAACAGAATGTGATGTGATGTCTCCCTTAAAGTCAGTAAACAAGAAATTCTTCAGAGGTTAATTATCAATAACATTAAAAGATAGGCCAGTTCCATGGTGAATTCTGGTGAATGCTCACCAGTTGTTCTTTGCATGATCATTATTCTTGTGTGAAATGCTGTATCTCTAGCCTAACGGTGTCTGTATTCGTTAAGAATAACTTGCTAATTACATAAAGAAATTCATGTAAAGATTTTTTAATCATTCCTTTTTGTGAAGTTAAATCATAGAATTAAATCCTTTACAGAGGAATGTAATTGAATAATCTTGATATACTGTGGTATATAAATAATAATAATAATTATATACCAGTAGAGATTGTGATCTAATATGAAAGATCCAAATGTCATTTGCCGATGCAGTGTGGAGTTAGTTAATTTGTTGAAGATCCTTGCTTGCCTTTTGCCTCTTAAAGTGAGAAACAGCTTGCATTGCTGGTAATTAAATCCTTTTGCTTTGGCTAGGAAAGACTGAATAAAGTCTTTATTATAAAAATTATTTGCTGTAATTGTGAAGTAATTCTTCAGAAAATAATACTGTACTTTCTTCAAGAATTGTGAACTCTGACAAGGAAGAAGTTGGCTGGTAATACTTTCATTATAAGCAAACATTCACAAAAGTCAACAGTTGTTTTATGACCAAGATGTCATGACTTCCATCATTTCATAATAAAGTTCTAAGGCATTTAATATGGCAGTGAAAGTCATTTACAATACTTATAACCTGTTGCCTAAAAACTGTAAACACATTCTAAATATTTTTGGATTTTGAGCACTAAGTTGCAACCGATTCCAAAAACTAAAATGTCAAAATGTGGTAACACTGGACTTCTCTAAATGCTTATTCTGTAAGTTATTAGGGTTGTTTCAGGGCATCCTGTATCAGGAGAGCCTGTATAATTACTTAGAATTATTGGAATACTACCTGTTTTGATATTTGTTAACCATTGGTCAAGTTTACACTATATTCCAAATGTTTTGCTGGTGACTCAAATTCATGCCTAGTTGTAAATCCAGCCATACCTTACCTTGTGATGATTTTGGGGTTTAGCGTCCCTGCGGCCCTGTCGTCGACCAGGCCTCCTGGTCGACGACCATAAATATTTTGAAATTGAAATTACATACCACGTAGCCATATTGTTACTTTTGTGTTTCATAAGTAAGTTATGTCCTTGTAAAAACCATGGGTACAAAATAGGAACTGCTGTACTTGCAAGATATTACATATGCGTGTGTGTGATTGTTTCATTTATTGTTTAACTTTGTTTACTGTTACTGTGTACAGTGGTGAATCAGCTGGCATTACCGTCAATAAAAAAAAGTGTCCAGGTTCAGTTAATTTTCTTGCCACTGCAATTAAACTTCCAAAGAATTACTAGTAGATATTTTTTTATGGAATATATTTGTGCATGTGTGTGTGTGTGTTAGGCTTAAACTGAGGTCCCCCTCAAGGTCAAACTACTCTCCTTTAAGAGTTAGCACTGTTGTGGAGTTGCATCCTGAGTACTCATTAACTTGTGCGAAAGGAAACGTGCCCCGCTATTTCTGTCCCACCCGGGATTCCCAATCGTGAGTGGAGAACAAACCAACTGTATTAGAGAGAGACCTTGTATATATTGTTGTGGTTTTATGCTCCCCCTCTTGAAAGTGAGAAATGGGATACATTTAATCCCTTCCAGGAATGTACACAATACTAATCAAAACGTGCATCCCCTATCTTTCTCTGGTAATACTGTACATACAAAAAATACAGGGATAAATTGTGTATATATAATTATGAATTTGCAAGTATCGTTCAAGTTATGGTAATCTCATTTTATAACTATAACACTTATTAAAGGGGAAAATATGAAGAATAAGTAAATGGTTTGTATTTTTTATTAATATGTACAAATATATTCATACACGTCGCCCAAGATCCCAGAGTGCGGGACTCCCACATGAACAGAAATCCATACACTGGAAAGCTAGAGGATATGTAAGAAGGTCGTTCCATTACTATGATTGTTAATGGGTTGTAGTGAGCCTTGCATCACCAGACAGGTAATTGGTGTCAAAATTTTAATCAAGCAGCTAATCTGTCCTGACATTGCTCAGAAATGGCATCAAAGTCTGATAGGAGAAGACCAAAATGTGATCTGACAATAATTGTAGGCCACTGGTGTATACCTCAAAACATTTAAGTAATTAAAAACAATAACATTTTTCCACGAGTTTAGGTTAACTCCATTACATCTATATAAATGTTTTATAATATTTACAGGATTTGTATAAAAATAGGGCACTACTATTAAAATTGGCATGTGACAATAACTGCTCTTTAACCCTTGAATGATTTGGCTAATTAAAAAGTCTTACATCAAGGTTCATATGACAGTAGTACAGTAGTTCACAAAACTAATGAAGGAAAATCACACTTGGATATTCGAGCACGAGAGGCAATCACTATCTGCATTAAAAGTTGTTTATATTCGAAGATTAAAAACATTGTATTATTTTTGCATGTTTCCATATTTTGTCAAATATTTTTGTGGTTTAGCTTTATCCAACAGTCAAATTACTCCAGTTTTATATTTGTTGTAGGTGGCAGACAGCATTTTAATTAATTTAATGCCTATTATGGCCCTATAAAGGAACATTTTGCACTTCAAAAAATACAAGATTAACTTTTGTTAAATCACATTTGCCTTTAAGATCATTCACAATGGCCATATTCAATAAAGGCATTTCAAGCGCATGGTCATTTTACCAAGCTTTATTGATAGTTTTCTTACAGCGGTCACACAAGTCTTCTCCACACTTAGCCGTAAATTTCCAACACCTTAAACACTTGTTCCCAGTACTCTCTGTTACTGTCAAAGAAAATCCTTCTGTGTCATCTGAAATACAAAAATTAAAATTTAATTTTTAGGCACAAAAAAAAAGTTAAGTATTTTTTAATCTAAAAAATGGAATATTCACATTAAACATTATTTGCGTAGCCAGCTGAATATAAAATCACAGCAGCATATACTGTACCAAATTTTAACAGGAATGTCCATTTTTATAATAATTTAAAATTATTTTTAAAATCAATCTAGAGATCGATCAATCAATCAAGGTGATCAAGAGCACTAACCTTCATTTGGTAATAAAATTACTCTTGAAACTCTGAATATTTCGGTTAATCCAGATTCTGTTGCATCTGTACTTGTCTGCATCAACTGCCAAATTAAATAATAGTATTATTATTATTAACAAAACGAAGTTTTACATAATCAGGAATCCCTGGTAGTAAGTAAGTAAGTAATTATCAAAAGAAGGCACCAAACCGGGAAGGCTATGTAGCACCATCAAATACGCAAAATAATCAGAGGGCGCTAAATATCACCAAGGATGCCAATACGAGAACAAAAACGCATAAGGCGAACGATATCAAAAGTATCCGAGTCACCAAGAATTCTATCGAGGGACAGGTGACCGCGAGGGGCGGTCGGAAAGCAAAACATACGCTCGTCCTGGAAGTCAGGACATTCAAGAAGGACATGCACGACCGTAAGAGGGACAATGCAACTAGGACAATAAGGAGCAGGGCGGCGCTCCATCAAGTGACCATGGGTTAAGCGAGTATGGCCAATACGCAACCTCGCCAGAGCTGTTTCCCACCGCCGGTTACGGTGGAAGGAGGACTGCCACGAGGAAACACAACATTTAAGAGTACGTAGCTTGTTACCAGTAACAGACAACCAAGAAGCCTGCCAACGGGTAAGGACTGAGGAATGGATAACCGGGTAAAAGTCGGAATACGGAATGCCCTTACGAGAGATGGGACAAGAGCGGACAGCTTCCTTGGCGGCAGCATCCGCACGCTCATTTAAAGACACACCAATATGGCTGGGAACCCAACAAAACTCAACCGACTTAAATTTACTATGAACGAGAAACAGCCAATGCTGGATCTCGACAACCACTGGATGAACTGGATTAAAGGACCCGAGAGCCATGAGGGCACTACGAGAGTCAACAACAACTACAAAGGAAGACTGACAACGAGAAAGTAGGAGACGAAGAGCATAGAGAATAGCATAAAGTTCCGCTGTAAAGATGCTAGTCTCCGGAGGCAAGCGACACATATAAGTGCGATCAGGAAAAACAACAGAGTAGCCAACACCGTCCGCTGACTTAGACCCATCGGTGAAGACAGAAACGGAGCGGGAGTGAGAAGAAAAGTGCTCGAGGAAAAGGCGTTTTAGAACCGTAGGAGGGGTAAAAGCTTTAGTGACACGGGTCAAGGAAGTACAAAACCGCGGAAGAGGGACCCTCCACGGGGGCAAAGAAGGAACAACACGAGGAGAAACATCAGAAATACGAACGGAAAGAGAATCCTGCAGGCGAGATAACCGGACAGAAAGAGGGAGGTGGTGAAGAGGAACAGGAACCGCAGGAGGGGTAAAAGTTAAAGCACGACAGAGGCGAGAGGAAGGATGTTGCAAGGACCGCGCAAGATAGCGAAGACAGTAGCGATCACGGCGGTCCTGGAGAGACAGGAAGCCAGTGTCAACATACAAGCTAAGGACGGGAGTCGAACGAAAGGCACCAGAACTGAGGCGCAACCCAGTATGGTGCAAAGCATCAAGACGGCGAAGAGTAGAAGGAGAAGCAGACGAGTAAGCAGGGCAACCATAATCGAGCTTAGACAGGACGAGAGAAGAATGTAAAGCAAGGAGAGTGCGCCTATCTGCCCCCCAAGAAGTATGGGACAAGACCCGAAGGAGGGTAAGGGCCTTAGAGCACTCAACACGGAGGTAAGAGATATGGGGAGACCAAGACAAACGAGTGTCAAGGAATAACCCCAAAAGCTTCGCGGAATCTTTGTATTCAAGGGGATGACCATAAAGTGACAAAGAGGGACGAAGAACAACCCGTTTCCGCGTAAATGTCATGGCACAAGTCTTAGAAGTAGAGAACTTGAAGCCATGATCAGTGGCCCAAGACGACACGGCATCAATTGCAAGTTGAAGCCGGCGTTGAAGGAGAGGCGAATCATCACCCTGACAACAAAGGGTAAGATCATCGACATAGAGAGCGGAGAAGACACCAGAAGGAAGAGAGGAAAGAAGACCATTGAGGGCAACCAGAAAAAGAGTAGTGCTCAGAACACTACCCTGGGGCACACCTTCGTATTGCTGAAAAGAGGGAGAGAGAGCGGTACCAAGGCGCACCCGAAAGGAACGACGAGAGAGGAAGCTGCGGAGAAAGAGAGGGAGATGACCACGAAGGCCAAAAGAATGAAGTTGAGATAGGATATGATAACGCCAAGTGGTGTCGTAAGCCTTTTCCAGGTCAAAAAGGACGGCAACAACGGAGGTCTTCGCAGCAAAAGCAGTACGAATATAGACCTCCAAGTTCACCAGGACATCTGTCGTGCTGCGGCACTTGCGGAAACCAAATTGAGAAGGGGAGAGGAGGTGATGGTGTTCCAGGAACCACATCAGACGAACGTTAACCATACGTTCAAAAAGTTTGCAGACACAACTTGTGAGAGCAATAGGGCGAAAGTCCTTAGGGGAAGTACCCAGAGACCCCGGTTTGCGAACAGGGAGGACAACGGCATCGAGCCAGTCCTCAGGGACTGACGACGACTCCCAGATCCGATTATACAGACTCAGTAAATACTGAGACGTGCTCGGAGGGAGATGGCGAAGCATCTCATAATGAATACCATCGGAGCCCGCCGCCGTAGAACCGCAGAGGGCCAGAGCAGAACGAAGTTCAGAGAGAGAGAAGGGATCATTATAGGGAAGCTGAAGATGAGTGCAGAAATCTAAAGGACGAGACTCAAGGACAGGTTTACGAAGAAGGAAAGATTGGGGAAGATGGAGACCAGAGCTAACAGAAGAAAAGTGGGAACCCAGTTCGGAAGCGACCTGCAACGGGTCCGCCACAAGAGTATCATGGAGGTGAAGGACCGGTGAAACATCGGGAACGAACTTACCCGCTATCTTGCGGATACGCTTCCAGATCTGGGCCAGAGGGGTTTCGGACGTAAGTGTTGAGACATAAGATGCCCAACATTCACGTTTAGCCGTACGGATGGCCCTACGGGCCACCGCACTCGCTTTCCGAAAGAAAAGAAAAGAATCGGTCGTCTGCCTACGGCGGTGCCTCTTCCAGGCTGCACGCTTACAGCGGACAGCCCGAGCACAGTCCGCATTCCACCAGGGAACGCACTTCCGCGGACCCCGAGAGGAAGAGCGAGGAATAGAGCGGAGGGCAGCGTTGAAGACAGTGTCATGAAAAAGGAGGAGAGCGCGAGAGAGAGGCAGAAGGGAGAGGTCAGAGAGAGCAGCACTGAGGGTAAATAGGGTCCAGTCTGCCTTAGCAAACTGCCACCTAGGGAAAGAGAGGGAAGGGCGAAAAGAGAAAAAGGAAACAAGGATGGGGAAATGATCACTTCCATGGAGGTCATCAAGAACCTGCCACGTGAAATCTAAGTAAAGAGAAGAAGAGCAGAGAGAAAGATCAAGACAAGAAAGGGTGCGAGTCCGAGAGTCCAAATGAGTGGGCTCACCAGAATTCAGAAGAGACAGGGAAGAAGATAGGAGAAACGGCTCAAGGAGGCGACCCCGGGTATTCGTCAGAACGTCACCCCAAAGAGAATGACGACAATTGAAGTCACCCAGCAGGAGCACAGGCTCCGGCAAGGAGTCTAGGAGGTGTTTCAAATCAGGAAGAGAGAGCGGGACACTCGGGGGGAGATAAATGGAACAAACTGTGTACCATTTCCCCACAAAGATACGAGCAGCAGAACAATGGAGAGGCGAAGGAAAAAGTAAAGGAACAAAGGGAACATCCGCACGAATCAAGAGAGCAGAAGAATTAGAAGCCCCAGCAATGGCTGGGGGGGGGGAGAGAAAGGAATAGCCACGAAAACGACCAGGACGAGCACCAAGCATTGGCTCCTGGAGACAGACACAAAGGGGCGAAAACCGCGAAATCAGAAGTTGGAGTTCGAGGAAATTGGCGTAATAACCTCGAACGTTCCATTGAAGAATGGACAACGACGGGAAGAGAAAGGACAAAAACAGAGAACAAGGAAGAAACAAAGGCGAAAGAGCGACAGAGCACGTTAAAGAATATCAGGGTCGGGATCAGGGTCAGCAAAGTCAGGGTTAGGGGGCATGGGTAAACTGAGCAAAGACGGAGGGAAGGAAACGGGAGAACAGATCAGAGGTGGGCGGGCGGGGTCCGGAGGAGGAGGAGGAAGAGGAGGAGACAACGGAGAGGAGCGGTCAAGGACAGCAGTAGGAAGAGGGGGAGTAGAAAGAGGGGAGCGCACCCCAGCAAGAGCAGCAACCGAAAGGGAAGCAGGGGCCAAAGAAACCTCCATAGCAGGAACAGGGGGTGCAACCACTGAAACGGGAGGGGAAGGAGCAACAGAGCCAGAAGTAGGAGCTAAGGAAGAAAGCGAAGCCTTCTTACCCGCCGGGGAAGAGGAAGGAGAGGAGCCAGGCTTACGCTTCTGACTTAAAGAGACAGGTGTCCCAGCAACTACGTACCGGGCAACGGATTCCAGCGTCTCAACAGGAGAAGCCGAACGAGAGCACACACGACGGCCGTTAGGAGAGCGATGGACATCCGCCTGCACCGACAGGCGGCGGGGAGAGCCGAGAGATGGAGGAAGAGGATGGGAAGGAGGATCGGAGGGGGACGAGGAAGAAGACACAGGAGACATGACAGACCGGGTGGAAAGAAGGGGAACCCCAGACAGAGGACCAGGAGGGGGACCCCTCGGGAAAGAACTCAAAGGAACAGAGGAGGGGGCAGTGGGCGTATCAGGGTCCAAGGCCCGGAAACGGTTGAGAGTCTGAGGAAGGGGGGAAGGACGAGGAGAGGAAGAGCGCAACACGCGAGCATAAGAGATGTTAGTATAAGGCGGGAGCCGGCGAACCTGGCGCCTCGCCTCAGGAAAAGACAAACGCTCCCGGTGCTTCAGGTTAAGGACGGCCGCCTCAAGCTTGTAATGGACACAGGCACGGGAGAACGTAGGATGGGCCTCACCGCAGTTGAGGCAGCGAGCTTGGGGAGAAGTGCACTCCGACTTAGAGTGACCTTCACTCCCACACAAAGGACAGAGAGAGACAGTCCCAGAGCAGCGGAGGGCACCATGCCCAAACCTCCAGCACTTATTACAAAGTCGAGGAGAAGGAATATACTCCTGGAC